AAAATTAATCAAGCTCTCCTGTTGCCCATTAGCTAGGAAAAGTAGAAGACTGTTGGATACAAGCAATAAATCAGACCAAAATGGAAGATGGCTGGCTGCAAATTCACCTTATTCAGAGGTTCAGGAAGAAGGGAAATAAATTGCTTAAAACTTAACCCTTGAAAAATACCCTGCGGATTTGCACGATTAACTCGGCATCTGCAGAGCAATTTGAATTACTCTGCACTGGAGAGCAGAAAAATGTAAGATGGATTTATATTTCAGATTCATTTGCTGAAGTGCCAAAAAGATCTCATGATAAAAGAGGGGTTCATGTTACAATAACCATGAAAATGCATCACTAGTAAAGTCCCATAATGTGTGTACGTAAATGATACTCTTGATTGGTAATTGGTTGATCTGTTAGCATGAGCTATACAGTAAAATATCTCAATAAAATTTAAAATTTAAGTGTTTTTTGCTGAATGAAAGAATAGCTATTATGAGAAATGAGCACAAACGATTGTGCATATGAAAATTAACTGACTTTGCAAACATTTGGTTTTGAGTGGCATGTGTAAGAGTCAGTTTCTACCCTGTGCTTGGCCCCCTATTTAGACAGCTACTGCCACTCGACTCCATCCTCTGCTCAAGTCATTTATTTATCCTTTCCCCAAGACCGACAAAGCCTAGTGAGGAGAAACAAATATGATTGTTAGATGACTCTGTGTCTAGCACAGTGCCCTGTACATAAATAAATAGTTGCCTAAATAAATGGTCTTATTGGAAGAAATAGAGCTACAAAAAATGATGCTTCGAAAGGATATATGTACTCATAATTGGAGGACAGGAACTATAGAACATAGTGTGTGGTGTCTGATCAGCTGACTGCAAGACTTTTCTTACCGATTGTACCAACTGCTGTGGTCTGAATGTTTACATACAGGCACTGCTCCATTTATGATAGGGTTACGTCTGGATAATTTCAATTTCAATTTATGATGTGGCTCCATAGTAAGTTGAGGAGTGTACTGAATACGTATCGCTTTCACATCATCATTAAGTCCAAAAAATCCTAAATTCAACCATTTTGCAATAAATGGAGGAACATCTGTATTGAAATCCTAAACCCCAATGAGATGGTATCCACAACGGAGGAGGGGCCTTTGGGAGTGATTTAGATCCTGAGGGCTCTTTAGTGCCTGTATAGAAGAGGCCTCAGAGAGCTGCTCGCTCCTTCCACCTTGTGAGGACACAGTGTGAAAGAGCCATCTGTGAGAAAATGGGCCCTCACCAGACACCGATTCCGCCAACACCTTGATCTTGGACTCCCCGGGCTCCAGAACTGTAAAAAATATATTTCTGTTGTTTATAAGCCACCCGCTTTATGGTATCTTGTTTTAGCAGCCCAAGGAGACCAAGACACCACCCTTTCCTCCATGATAAATGTTAGAGTGAACAGAGAGATGAGAGTATGAAATGTTACAAGTGCTACGCTATTAGTTTTCCAGGGTACAAGGAGAACTCAGAAGAGAGACTGGTCAAGTCTACTTAGGGAGGTCCGAAGAGGCTTCATAGGATGAACCCAAATTTCTCTGACGTATAGTGGGTGATACAATTACCCATCTCACATGGTGGTCGTGAGGATCAAACCTAATTGGAAATGAACTCTTCCTAAAGGAATTTACAGTCCAGTATGAAGAGACTGGACTGTATGAAGTTCTATTACCAACCTCCCTTTCTCCTGAGGCTGAGCTAAAATAATATAACTCAAGGTTGACAGGATATACGTTTTCATTTCTCATAACTGGGTAAAGAAGAAATGCGACCTGGAGGCTGATTTGAACAAGCCAGGGCCCCTTTGTCCTCTTCTCTCCTCTCAGAATCACAGTGGTGGTGAGGGAAAGGGGAGGCATCTACCTGGAAACCCAGGACAATGAAGAATAATTGAGAGCCCTGGATGGGGGCCAGATAGCCACAGGGGAGGTGGGATACAGAGGACAGGTAGGAACAGAAGAAAGTGGCTGAAAGTCACATCTAGAGGCCCAGAGGTATTCTAGTTCCTGGGAATGCCCAGGAACTAGAATTGGGGCAGAAA